GGTGTTCCCAGGCACCCTTACCCTGCTGTGTTTGAGTGGGGAAGCTCATGGCAGGTGAGCGAGTGAAGAGGAGCAAGGGCAAACCCTGTACAGAAGCCACAAAAGGAATTGAGCATTATAGTTCAAGGTTTTTCATACAGGTACTATTTGGGGCATGCTTAACCAGGGAAAGGAAGGAAAGATCGATCTGTGAGGACAATTAATTCTGCCCAGTGTAGCATTAGTTATTTGGTTCTAGGGAATAGCTGAAATACGAGGTGGTTGCGTGTTTGTGTCCGAACCCAGCATAGTTATTGTACTGCTTTTATCTGCAACAAATTAGTAATAAAATGGCAGAATGGCTGAGGTTGGAAGGGACCTCTGGAGGTCATCGGACATTTGTTGTTTAGGTGCTGCGCTACAGTTCCTTTCATTTGACTCCATGGCAAAGGCAGCTCTGGGGCTGCTTCTCCTCTTGTGTTGGTATTCCCAAGTGCGCTGAGCGGGAGTGCAGGTGCAGTTACACCATAGCGTTTCTTGTCCAGATTTGCTTGGAAGTGTGGAGCGGCCTCGTGGACGTGAGCGTTGTAACAGGGTCTGTGAATGGGGGGTAGGAACCGTTTACCTGATATTAGATTTAAGAAGTATCACAAACACAGTGGTTTGGGCTATAGCTGTACAAACTTTATAAAGAATAAATTTGCTGTAAAGTGGAGTTGTTCCTGCATCTGAAGGATAAATTACTGTGCCACAACGAGGCCAACTTTACTTTTAATAAAATGTGTGTGAATACAAATTGATTTAAGGCAAGCTACCTCAGCTGGGAGCGTAAAGATGTGGTCTTACGGAGTGGTTGCTGGGAGACACTGACACCTTTCTACTGTTAAGCCCCAAGTAGTTTTTCCCCATCCGTATGTTCTTCTAGTTGCATTTTTAGCTACTTCTGAGAGTTTATGCTGAGCAGCTCCTACTGAAGGGCATAAAATAGCACTAACTACATTGGAATCCGATACGCTTGGTTTTGCAACGGTTATGGAAGATTGAAAGTGGAAAGCAGTAAAAATTTCTGGGGATTTGCTGGGACTTCCGTCAGTCATAGTCACTGTTGAAATTGTTCCCTCTCCCCTTTTCCTTTTTTAACCTGCAAATTCTTATTCTATTTAACCATTTTCAGAAGCTTCTGGAAAAGCAAAAACGCTATGTTTCAGTTCTGTAAATCCAGCATAGCATTGTGCCACTGAGCCCTACCAGCCAAATTTATAGTTTGGATGTTGTTGCGGTCTCTGCTGGCATAGGAAATGTTCATTTAAAAAAACCAAAAAAACCCAAAACCAAAAAAAAGCCCCCCTAAAACCAACCAAACAAAACCCAAAAAAACCCCACCCAGAAAAGAAGGAGCTTGCCTGGCTTGTCAGCTCACGTCTTACAGCCTCTCTGTCTCTTTTCCCTGATTTCTGACTTGCCTGCTCCTGTTTGCCTCGTCTGCCCATTTCTGATTTAGGCAAGAAGCAGGATGTGCCGTGACGGATTTACAGCATGTGCTGATTTGCCAGCTGGCTGCTCTCTCTGGGTCAGCCAAACAGAATAGGTGAGGACTGAGCTATCCTCGCCTCTTCCCAGTAACGTTTCACCTCTACTCATTTGCTGTGGTATTTTCCCCACGGGATTTGCAAAATCTCAAATATACGTAGGGTCACTATACCTTTCCTCTGCTGTTGAACCTGGAAAGCCAGAGTAAAAACTGATCTGAGATATTACTAAAATAGCACTAATAGCTATGGCTGAACAAAGTAATTTATTGTGCTTGAATACTTCATTTAATTATTGGAGAGTCTATTATTTTTTAAAAAAACCAGAAGCAATAGTGGTGTTGGGCATACATTGATGGTCTCAGCTGGGAATTGCTCTGGTTTTATCCGGTGTTGAAATTGTGCATAAGATCTTTGGAACCACTAGCATTTTTATATGAAAGCAAATGTGTCTTGGTCAAGAAGCTTTTACCACGTAAGAGCTAGCTAAAGAAGAATTGATTACTCAGGGCTGCGTGTCTTTATTCACTCTTGAAATGGCATATGTATTCACTTGGCTGCAACAAATGAAATAGTAATAATTGTAGGTAGTTGTTTTAGAGTATTCTCTTTCTCCTTTTTTCATTTTAGAAACCCTAGATACATCAGATTTCCCCTACTTCTGTTTGATGTTGAGTTGAAAAAAAGATAAAAGAGGGGAGTTGGCAAAGGAAAGTCCTGTCAGTCAGGATTCAAGTGAAAATACGTAGCTGAAAACATCTTAGCGACATCCTTCAGTAGCTAAAAGATAAGTTTTCCCTTCCTGTCCTGGACGTTTCTGCTGCATTTGAGATAGATGTGAATTACTGGCTGTCGGCCGAGGAGCGGTAGCAAGTCCTGCCTGCACCTCTGAAACGGCAGCATCCTCGGGGAGCCTGCTGGGCAGGCGCTGGGCTGGGTGCTTTGAGTCCGGCAGCGACCATTTCACTGTGTGCTCCTCTTCACGCTCTACCTTGCAGACACTGGCTTGGACGTGGGTTTTGGTGTGAGCAGTTTGCAGGTGACACAACTGTGCGTGATCTTTTCGGCTTTAGAACTACTCCTGATTCTTTACTATTCATTACAATTACGAGTTGTCAATATTAGGATTGTCTGGGGTTTGCTTTTTGCTGATGCCAGCCTTAACCATAGGAAATGTTCTTTGCATACATTGCTGTCATCTGTGTTTTGTTGTAGGAGATAGTTCCTTGTGCTGTAGGTGATGCTGTCGCTTGGCATTTACCTTTTCATCACCTCTGGGATGGACTGCAGCAATGCACCGTACTTGGGCAGGGAGCCTCCTCAAAACACCCGGTGCTTTCAGTGTGGGCTTGCAGCTGAGCAGGCTGCTGTAGGTGCTGTATCCCCGTATCTGTTCATTTCCCACAGGATTTTGAATCACGCTGAAAATCTTTTCATGGGTTTCTGGGCCCAGCTATCGTGGCGCGCAACTGCAGCGTTAATGGCTTCGTATGTGCGCAGCACGATGCTGCGTAATACGCTGTGCACCCTTAATGCTTTCCTTAGGGAAACATTTGGCAGATTTATTCTCTTGGTCCAAATTACACAGACCAAGCTACAGCTCTAGATAGCTGTGCTGTATCCTGAATGCTGTATGCTGGGTTCCGTAGATGTAGGGCTTCTGTTTGCTCATGTTTGGATTAAGTGAGGCTGGGAGATGTGGTTTTGTGTGTTTGGGCGGCTCTTTGGAAAAATGAGATACTTAGTTCAGACTAAAGGTCTTAAATTAAGCTTGATGATTTACATAGTCTAGCATAATCCATCCTCTTAAAATTGTGTACGTGATAGAGACTTCTGAGATGATATCCTTATTGCTGCTTTAATCCAAATACTCAATAACACGTCCTGTATTGAGGGCTGTGTTGTCGGAACAGAATCCTGCCTTGGAACTGGGTTGGGAATACGAGCATAACTGCTTGCTGAATTAAGAGCGGCATCGCGCCTTTGAGTGCTAAACTCAAACTCAGAATCCAGGCTTGCTATTCTCTTTATTTTACAACGAGAATGATCTTCCTGTAGGAATAGGAAGAAGCCTGCCTCGTAAGCGGGAGCACCCCTAAAAGCCACTTAGCAGTTTCCAGTGAAGTCCTTCAGCAAAATGCTCCACTAGCATTTCAGAGCACAGAAAGCCAACAAAATGCTCTTGCGTCTCTCAGAGTAATCCAGACAGGCTCTCTGGTGTCTTCTGTGTCTGGGTCAAAGCCCTGGTGATTCCCTCAATGCACCTCCATGTCTACAGCCCAGCTGGGAGCAACAGAGGCAGTCGAGAGTCTGCACCAAGCATGCTGCCACGGACCTTGGGAGAGCTTTTAGTCAAACTTAGATGGCAGGGGGGCAAAGTGGTCATGTTGTTACTGCTTACTTGAATGACCCTGCGACATGGCTGTCATGGCGTAACCTTGACTTAAATAATCATCCCGTGTAGCGCGTCACGCTGACTGCTATCCAAAGTCACCATCGTTCCTGCTGTGTCAGAGATACGCATATTAGATCCAAGCCTGCGTAAAAAGAGATGATGGCCTTGCTTAATAAATAATTATTTCTGGGAGACAATGCTGAGAAATTACTGGTTTTAAACTCGCTTCTCAACCCATGTGAGCAGCAAGAACTCTAAGAGTAATCTTATATGGCTCCCATGTCTTTCTCCTGCTCTGTTCGAAAGAAATCAGTGATGCTTGTCACAAGACTTGACGTGTTACTGATGTCAAGAGCTTCCTAATGTCATTTGGAAGGTCCAGGACAAGGGGAATATCTGTTCTTCAGTGTGTGTTTGCTGCATTTCTCCAGTCTTCTGTATGTGGGAAGACTGCGTAACCTGCTGTCGGGGCATTGGCTGATGCTGTGCTGTTATTTTAAAGGTCACTCCAGTCATTTTGTACTTGTTGTTTAAAAAAAAAAACCCACAAAACCAAAAAACAAAAACCCAAACAAACTTTTAAATTATGCACATAACAGATTAAAGGAATTGCTGTTCTCTGCTCATTCTTTTAGGGAAACAGATGTTTGCTCTGCTGTCCCAGCAACTCTGAGAGAACTGAGTTGGGCAAGTCCAAGGGTTGGACTCTGAAATTTCCTCTTGAATAACTCCTAAGTTCCTGCTCAAGTGGTTTTGGAAATTTTTACGTTGCTTGGGTACTTTGTTTTTAAGAGACAGTGACACCCACAAAACTAGAGAGAGAGAGGTGTCACAAGGGAAAAAAAAAAAACCTGAGAGAATGAGGAAGAGATGGTGGCAGCATGAGGAAAATCAGTGGCTTTGAATTTAAAATTGACTTATTCAGAGCAGCATCTCAAATCCTACTCTTGAAAAGAGAGAACCATTGGTTTATAAAATGACTTGGAATCTGTAAGCAAGGGGAGACCTGAGGAGAGAAATGAACTTTTAAAATACAGCGTTCCAATGATGAGTTATTAATGATAGAATAATTAAGCTAAAATCACTACAACTAACAGTCTGTGTTTTTTCTTTTGTCTTTCTTTTTCTTACCCCAACCCTTCACCACATCCTTTCCGCTCCTGATGCTGTGGGGAACAGTAGGACCCAGCCAAAGGTAAGGGCTTTTGTCGCGTGTTAAATCAGTGTGTGAAAAATTGTCCTATCGCTTATTCAGTCTTGGGTTATCCAAATATTAAAAGCATTTCGAAAAACAGCTCTGTGGTTGATCAGCTGTTGAGTAAGAAACTCGAAGCATCTCCTTGCTGCAGAAGAACACTGTACAGCCTGTGCCAAAAAATGAGTCACAGGAACAAATGAGAACACACATACTCAGCATTACAGACTGTGAATGGAAGACTACTTGTTATTTGTGGGCTTTTAAAAGCATCTTCTGGTATTTCTGTTAAAGCAAACTCATTTTGTTGTTATGTCTTATGATCCCGTGACACTGTGTTTGCTACGCAGATATCTATCTATCCTGGCATATCAGCATTCAGCTTCATTGATGTGGCCAATGATGTTTTATTAAATGCTCTGAAGGCGTGGGATGTTATAATAATATGCTTAATTGTATAATAAATTCAAAGAACCAAAACCCCTTAATTTTAAATAAACAGGCTGTTGTTTCCTCAATTAGAGGCTGTAAAATAACCACTTTTATCTTTTGATGCTGGGACATTAATGTAGTATAGGAAAAAAAAAGTGTCTTTTTGAAGATAAGTTATTTAAATTTCAAGGATTTTACTGTATTAAGCATTTTTGTAAACGTAGGTAGTAAGTGGATGTGTTGGTAGTACGGATTTTCGACTCTCGCATAATTTTTCTGATTATTTTAGTTAGTATAAATACTTGAGGAAGACTTGCTTTATTGCTCTGTGAGTCCTTAAATGATTTTTCAGATTCCATGATACGATCTATTAGGAAATGCTGTAACTGAGGTAATTCACTACAGACTCAGTATTTCTTTTTAGGGTTTTCTCATTATTAATATACATTTGATGCAATGTATTTTGTTTCTACAGTCTTTACTAGCTAAGAAATGTTGAGTTTGGTTACCTATGCAGATGCTAGTTCATGGTTAGTGCCTTTAGCATAGAGACAACAGACGTCACTAAAATGGAACATGGAAATGTGTCAACAGATAAAATGAAATTTTCAGAAATGCTGGAATAAGGGTTCAGAAGGCGGATGCGAGATGCTGACACGGTGCGCGTGCTCTGCCAGCATGACCTGAAGCGGTGCAAACGTTAGCTACGCAGCAGTACAGAGCATTTAAAGGGGAAAGGGCAGCCTTCGTTAAACTTAGGGGAGAGGTAAACAGGCGAAGAGCAACACATTGCACTTCCCTCTTCCTATATCCTACAGAGTGAATATTGCCTGGGTGAATGTAGGTCAGATACTACCCTCAATGTTTTTTTCTTACAAATACATATCCAGGGGAGTTGTTTTTGCAAATGCCTGTTTTTGCAGCCTGAAGTCCCAAAATACGCACTGCCTTATTGGCGATCAGCTTTCATGACGAAAGGTGCCTGCGGACCTTTAAATGCATTTACTGCAAAATTGAAACTTTGCTGTTTAAAAAGATTATAGTGCTACTCTTCTCGTGATAAAACTCATTTGCCCTATATTGTTCTTTACGAGCATTAGACTTCGGTGATGACTGCTTCTGTTTGTCAGCAGTATGTAAATGCCTACTCCTCTTGTACAGAAAGAGGTTCCTACCCTAAGGCATGTTTTTAATTTATGCAGGCAAGAGACACCGGGAGATGGTAGGCAGAAACAGCCAGGGGACATCTGTCAGTTTGCAAAATAGAAAGTCTTGTGAAAAATGAATTGCAAGGATGGGTTTAAAGGAAGATAAGGAGAGCTCCTTGGTATCCACTCGGTGGCCACGTGGAGAGCTTTCGGAGGGCACGGGATAGGATTCACACAGTAGAAAGGAAGAAATAAAACCAAGGAGGAAATAAAAGCAAGAAACAGGCTTGCCTATAGGAAGATGTGGCGTTTGTTTAGGCTTCAGACTCATAGAAAATAAGTAATTCTATGGGAATGTGTATTATGTTCAGAATGGCCCCGAGGAGCGTGATGTTAGCCAACATAATACAGCGCTGTCAAAATTTGGATAACGTGTTTGATTTTGGCAACAGTTTTTTATAAAGGTGTCCTCCTGGTTACTTTCCTACAGGTGTTTGCTTACGATCACTGCTTTTGGTCTATGGATGAATCTGTCAAAGAAAAATATGCAGGTAATATTTACTGTAGCTTTGTGCTTGTTGTCTCCAAGTGTGAATGAGCTAATTAAAATACAGTATTTGCTACAGGGCACACACCATATGGCACAAAATGCCTTCCCCTATATGACTGCTTGTTGTCAAAAGAAAAAGGAAAATCTTTAATCATTCGTGTTTCTCTTCTCTAAAGATAATAGCATTGCTACCTGTTTGCAGTGTGGGAAACTGAGAAATCCATTGCAATAATGCGTTACTCATATTGACATCTGTATTTAAAATACTGTACCAAGTCCATCATTTTAAAAGCATCAAATCCATTTCTTTTCAGGATTTGAGGAACACTGCTATATGTCATTTCATGTTTCACAGTGTTGATGGGAGTTTGGAATCATATTAGAACTTAATAATGGAGTATTAAAAAAAGCCTTAATATAGGGGTATGTGAATTCGTATGGTGAGAATGTGTAATGTATTTAACTAAAAGTTTTCTGTGTATTATTATAACATGTTTTGGCAAACAGTTATGGTAAAATATGAAATATATTTGGACTTCCCACTCTTGTGATCTATTCCTTTCATATTTGTTACCTCTTAAAATTGGGAATCAGTTAAGCTTGATTACATTAATTTTTTTTTAAAAATCACAATAAAAGATTCATATGCTTCTAGGTTTTAATTTCTCTAATAAATAATGAATAATAATTTAGTGAGGAACTGAGAAAAATGTGATGCTTTCAGCCGTACAAATTGCATAGGAAGGTAGATTCCCCACTCCCCCCCAACTAAAGGAGGCAAATATGTCACTTATATTATGGTCTGTTATACACTGGAAGTGTTTGGTCCAAAACCACTCCGCTGTGCTTAGCTAGGCACAGCTATTAGTAATTTTGATGGGGAATTTTGCATGCATAAAATTCTGAGTGGACTTGGATGTAAAGATACAGACTTCAACCAGTAAGAAAAAGTAAAAGCTTTCAGGAACATTAACATATTTGAGAGGGCTTTTCAGTCCATAAAGTTCTGCCATGTCTTGTTCAGACTTTAGTTCCCCTGCTTGTAAAAGAAATTCTGAAAATTGAGGTTTTGTTTAAAATTATAATACCCAAATACATTAAGCATTTCTTCCTTCACTTGGAAAAGGAGCCAAAAAGCTGTTCCTACAGATTTAGTTCAATTACAAAAGAAGTGATATACCCTGTATTTTGCCAATGCATGTCTTGTACTATAATATCTCCCATATAGTTGTTATTCCTTCTCTGCAAAAATCTCCTCATGGTATTATTTAATACCTTGTACATATACAGTAAAATTATCTAGTGCTTTACTACTTCCTCTGGATTAAAATCCAAATGTCAGTTATTAAAATGTATGGATTGAGTATATTTTGAGGTGGTGTCATGCACCGGTGGATGAAATTCTGCAGCTAGTAGTAGATTTTCTGCTGATAAAACTTCTGAGTATGAGCATTGATAGGATGTTCTTTTAAGCACATACAGGTCTATGCGTGATAATCACAGCTTCTGATTTTTACAGTAGCATAAATCTGGAGCACGTCTACTGGCTGATGGTCTTGCTCTTGTAGAGGGAGCAAATACTGGATGCTGAATATGTTGTTTGGGCAACAACAGCAGGAAAACACTATCTGTTTGCTTCTGCGTGATTACTGAAGGATCCAAATCAAGGGGCAGGGGGAATCCGTTGCTTTTTTTACGATGTTAGCTTGTGTGTTTTATTTCTTAGGTCAAGATGTTGTTTTCAAGTGCCTTGGAGAGAATATTCTTCAGAATGCCTTTGAAGGCTATAATGCTTGCATCTTTGCCTATGGGCAAACTGGTAAGTCCCTTCCAGACGTAAGCAAAAAATATTATTGACGCAAAAGGTGTTACATTCTGACTGGAGACTCTTTTCACGGCTGTTGTGACATTGTTTCAGGAGAAATGCCTTTTAAGGTAGATAAGAAATGTTTTTCTCTTGTGACATTAGATATGATGTGCGCAGGATGAGAAATAGGACTTTGTTGCTGCTGGCTACCCTTATTTCTCACACCTTAGATTATAATCTTTGGAATGATCATGATTGTCCTTGAGTTCAGTGCATCACTCATATTTTCTACATCTGTAGTTGGAATAATCTTAATCATCATTTTAAATGTAATATGCAAAAATGAGTATGCTTGTGCACCTGATTTTTCCTCATTGTGGCACATATGTGGGTGTTAGTGGGTTGTCATCTACAGTAAGACTGTACCTACCTGAAAAAGTCTTCTCTGTCAGTTTGAACTAAACTTCTTGGTTTGCTTTTCCTTTTAATCAAATAGCCTTTAGCTAAATGGTGTTTTGGTTGCTTTAAAATAGAAAACTGCACAAGTATCTTTCACTGAAATGGAAATTTTTTTTTTTAACCTCTTCTCTCTATTTCCTTTCCATGTTCCACACAGCAGGAAACTTTGTTACATGTACGCTAATCATAGATTCAATCACACAGGCTCTGGAAAATCATACACAATGATGGGTACTGCTGACCAGCCTGGATTAATCCCTAGACTTTGCAGTGGACTCTTTGAAAGAGCACAGAAAGAGGAAAACGAAGAGCAGAGTTTCAAAGTGGAAGTATCCTACATGGAGATATACAATGAGAAAGTCAGAGATCTTCTTGACCCAAAAGGGTAAGTAATTTGTGTGTCAACTGCACTGTAATATGTTGTCATACACTCTTCCTTTCCATAAGCAGCTTGCCTTAATGGATCCCATCTAAGGCACTTGCATAGGATGGCTTTCGCTTCTTCCTGATCTTAGTGTCCCTTCATTTTAAATCAAAATAAAGTAGTAAGACTAAAAGCTTGGAGTAAACCCACCCTAATGATAGCTTTTATGAAGTGACAAAAATGTCTATGTGAGCATTTTATGTGTAGACATAAGACTTTTTTTTATTTGCCATGTAGTCCTTGTTCTGTGCTTTATTATGGTATTTGCAAGACCACCATGTTTGAGATCTGTCAGTGAGAAATTGACTTTCTATAAATGTTGTCTTAAGTCAGTCATGTGCTTATAAATAACTTTTTTTTTCCAACCAGAAGCCGTCAGTCATTAAAAGTTAGAGAACACAGTGTTTATGGTCCTTACGTAGATGGCCTATCCAAACTAGCTGTTGCTAGCTACAAGGTAAGGATCAATTTTACGAAAGGCTTGTGTTGACATCCTAAATGCTAGGGTACTGTCCCTTAAGCAGGACAAAATTATTAAGCTACTCCTAGTTGTCATGGCAGTAACATGGATTTCAGAGCAAGGGAGCTGTAGGATTGTTGTGTTGTGATCACTGGGGAGAACAGAATTAAGAGCAGAAACTCATCTTCATCCTGTACTGTTCAAAAATTCTGGAAGTAATTCAACTATTTAATGAAACAGCTTTCCTCCCAAACTTGAATATACGCTGTATCCATGAGAAAGCGTTACATGATTAATTACAGAACCGTGATTAATTTAGCAGAGACAGGCTTTCAGTACCACATTTTGTCACATTTTGGCTGTCATGCTATTGCCTAGTAATTTCACTTACCAGTAGCACACAGACACACTGAAATTATAAACTAATATACAAGGCAAATACTTGGGAACATTGTCTGAAACTTGGCTTGCTGAATAGTAAATGTTTATATATGCATTCACAAAATGCCCTAATTTTTAAGAAGCATTAATGTACTGTGGGATAAATGAGTAAATATGGGATGGAATGCTGTCATCTTAAGAAAAGACGAAAATGGTGCAGTCCTTCCTATCGCAGTCTCTCCAGGTATTCATCTACCTCTCTTTGGTGGTTTTTGTTAAGTCACATTGCATGCTTATCCTTTACGTGTTGCCCAGCAGCTTTGTGTAATACAGCATACAGAGTCAGTGGTCTGTGGTGTTCTGTTTGATTGTTTTTTGGGGTTTTTTAGCATTATCCAGCTAGAGATGCTTAAATACACGTTAAGCCCAAGACTCCAAAGTTTTAACTATTGTACAAGATTGCTGTAAAACGCGTAAGCAGGGGGAGCTGTGTATTGCTCAAGTATCACAACTTAACATATCAGACGACTTTATAAGCTCTTATATGCAGGAGGAATATAATGACCCATTCAGTGTGGTTCTGTTTTATTAAACTTTGAGCCTAATGTCAGTATTACAGATTTCAAGAACGTGTGTTTGACAACTGAGGCAAAAATGTTACGGTGTTCAAACGTGAATTGCTGTTTCCTCGCTTTTTTCTTTGCTTTTGAGTATTACTACGTGCAGCCGGGTGCATTATTTTTGTTGATAATTTAATACCTAGGTAGAGGTAATGGATGAATATGCGTGTCACAACATTGTGGAATTTCTGGTCTTTAAAGGGGAGATCACAATATTTTTTTTTCTCTCACGTTTTGAACAAACAGTGGAAAACTTAGTGGGAAAATACCTGCTGTATTTTATCAAAATGAGATTGTTTCAGGAGATAATTGAAAAGAATGTTAATGCAGATATGCTTATGGCTGTGAAAATTGTATCTAGGACATCGAGTCCTTGATGTCCGAGGGCAACAAATCTCGAACAGTGGCTGCAACCAACATGAATGAGGAGAGCAGTCGGTCCCATGCTGTCTTCAAGATAATCCTCACCCACACACTCTATGATGTACAATCAGGGGTAAGTAAAACAAGTTGCAAGGTCCAAATGTTAAGTTTGGATGTGTGCCTCTTGCTTTAATGTATTTCACAGACTCTTAGAATCTTGGTTGGAAGGGACCTCAGGAGGTCATTTGCTACCATGTCCTGCCCTTGTGCCCTGCTAGCACTGGCTCAGGTTAGCTATGGCTTTGTCTGGCTAAGGCCTTGTAATGTTCCTGTGCTTGTGCCCCAATGTAGGGAAATCAATTTTAATAACTTTGTAAGTGGAAATGTGTTTTTTGAAATGGAAAGCAAAAACGCAGGCCCCAGGTTGCAGCAGACTTGCTGGAGGGTGCAGGAAGGATCTCCTAATCCTAGAATCTAAACTAAAGAAACACTTCTTTTTAAGTGATGCTGTGTAGTGCGGACTTGGAGCAGAAACTAAAGATATAATGTGTAGATTTAAAATAGGAGAACACCTGAGTATACATCTGGTAATCTTCAAGGGGTTATTTCATGCAAATATGTATAAATGATCAACTTTATAAACAGAAACATTTACTCATTTCAAAAACTTTGCATGGTATGACATTAATATTTTTATGTATGTATATTAAATATCCAAAAGACATTTAAATGTGAAAGTATTTTTCGTTACATTTCCTTATATGTAAATATTCCTTGGAGGGGGATGTGAAATGCATTAATGTTAATATTATTTAATCCCTCACAGAAAATAGTGATAAACTAAAATTGAAATAGATCTCCTACACCAAAACTCTTTAAACTTTGTTAGATTCTGTGCTTGGGTAATTCTTTAATGTCTTCAAAGCCTTGGGGAAATTTTGAGTGTCCATGGAGCAAATCTAAGGCATGTATGTGCCTAAATATTGAATATGATGTAAACCATAGTGAGCATTTGGATTTTTTTCCTCCTCATTTCTCAGTCTCCACCAATCTTCTTGTCCAAACAATTTTCCTTGGGTTTTTTTTTTGTTGGTGTGGGTTTTTTTTTTTTTTCTTCCTTTGCACTTCAAATTGGCAGTCATACTATGCTAAACTCCTTGATTTGCCATAGTTTGTCATTCCATTTTTGCTGTGGCTGCATTGTGCACTGCATACTTACCATATGTATTTTTTGTGTGGTCATGGTCAGCCTGGATGCAAGGTGGTAGTTCTGCTTGTCTGTCTTCTCTGCATCTTCCAGTGACCACTGTGTGAGTTTCTGGAACAGATTTCTCTGTTTTCCCATCTGCTGGTCCTTTCTGTCCTGGAAATGACATGTTTCAGTATGGCCTGATGATCATGCTGTAAGGAGACTTAGCAACTGTAATAATTTTCGTAAATTATAACATGCTTCTTGTCACGTTCATTCTTACTCTTTGAAAAACAGAGAAGAAACTTGGTCTAAAATCTGACATTTTTAGGAGACTGTTTTCAAGATGGGATTGTAGACCCCATGTCTTTGTTACTCCTTGGCCTGTACTACCTCTGCATTTTTCTTGGTTTAACATTTTACTAACGTGCCCTGTGTTCCTGGAGATTTCTGAGATGTCTTGAAGATAGTAGTGCCTGACTTCACTTCAAATCCTCCTAGTGTTTCTGAAGCAGCAGCTGGTAAGTTAACACAGAATACTGTTCAAGTCCAATGATTTTCAGAGGTGTTGGAACAGCTGCAGAGAGTCTACACAGAGCAATGAAGTTTTTTTTCTTGTTTGAAAATACGTCAAATGATGTAACTTAGAGTGAACTAACAGTAGGTGTTCTCTGGTTCCTTCTGCAGACATCAGGTGAGAAGGTGGGCAAGCTGAGTCTGGTGGACTTAGCAGGTAGCGAAAGGGCGACTAAGACTGGTGCTGCAGGAGACAGGCTGAAAGAAGGAAGCAACATTAACAAGTAAGTCTCTGTGATTATTTCTTCTTTCATCAGTACGATCATGACTACTAAATACAGCATGCTTGTAAAATAGGATAAAGTCAATATAAGTTCTTGTAGCCAGTTTTCTTCTTCCCTTCTCTCTACTTCTCTTTCTGACATACAATACTCAGATGTTTGAATGAGATTGCTACTCACTTAAAATGATCGTCGTTTTTCATTCTGTACTTGTGTTCCTGTGACTACCACATAATTGCATTGTGAAGACACAATTATCAGGGCTAAAAACGTATGCTGAAAACAAGGAGTAGAGCTTCTGTGAGAGAAGAATGATCAAAACTCTACTAAGAACTTTTTCTTCAGAACTCATTTTTAGGGAGAGAAAGTGACTGTCTAAACATGCATTTGACTTACGAATATTTACACTTGTTAATGACTGCTTGTGTTCTCTGGGCAGATCCCTCACTACTCTTGGGCTGGTTATTTCTGCCCTGGCAGATCAGGCTGCTGGCAAGAACAAGAACAAATTTGTTCCTTATCGTGATTCTGTGCTCACTTGGTTACTTAAAGTAAGTACTCTGATCTTGGGTTTTTTTAAAGAGAAATAAAGGGAGGAAAAGGGGAGAAGAGCCCCATTCAATGAAATAAAAAGCTGGTTTTTTTGCCTCATTTTCTGGTTTTGATATTAACCATATAATTGTCTTTGGAAAATAAGCTGGATGTAAGCCATTAGTATCTCTACAGACTAAATATGTTCCCTGTCTTCTGCTGACCTGTAATGGCCTAAAGAATAAGGGACTTTTAAAAATCTAAAAAAAAAAAAGCAGCATTATCTTTTATGGGTCAGTTTACGTACAGCTTCACACACAACCTTGGGGCTAATTTAATTTGGGCTATTGCCACATGCAACTGAATTTTACATGCTGGCATGGTTAGCTTCGAAGATTTTCATTAAGCTTGTTACCTTTTCCTAATTGTCTAATATATTTGTTAATATAATCTACTTCTGTCAGCGGAGTATAATTGCAGAACATTATCCCAGTTACAGTCTGAGGAACAGGTCAGAAGACTTTGTACATCATATTCATGCGAAATGAGTGGTTAAATCATTTTCTGTACTGCACAGGACTCTATTTGGTATTATTTTGGGGGAAGAAAAGAGTGTATCATGATGACACTTGGAGGAAGATCTGTAAGGTCTAAATGAAAACACAAATTGTTAAATACGAGTTTTATGTATGCCAAATTAAAAGGCAGACTTTTGTTTTTGTTGTTCTTCCCACTTCCTCCATACAGTGGCCGTAAAGCATGGTAGCCTGATGACAAAAAATCTTAGGAGTACAAGTTTGATTTTAGGTATAGTCATCATAGAATCATAGAATTGTCCAGGTTGGAAAAGACCTTTAAGATCATCCAGTCCAACCATTAACCTAACATTACCAGGTCCACACTAAACCAATTACGTCATCTGGATTTCTCCCATTCTCTGACTGAGTGGCAAGCACAAATGTAGCCACTCCTATCTGTAAAAAGCTTGCCTTGCTAGGAAAGGTGGCTTGTCTGTCTTTTTCTTATCTTGCCTGGTACAGCTTGAGTGGTCTTGGTTGACTTGGATTTTGAAGGATTATCAGGCGTCTCATGTAGATGACTTCAGTTTCATTTTTGCAACCTATCCTTTTGTTAAAATTTTCCTCTTTCATTATTTAATTGCCCGGATGTTTCATAACCATGCCTTGTAGAAATACTTACCAAGTTTCCTTTTTTTCCTTCTGCTCTCTTTTACCACTATCAAGGAACACCTAAGATACTTGTTAGTAGAAAGATACAATCTGGGAAGAAACTAATTTTTGGCACCACTAGCCTTTTTTTGTCCTCTTACTTTTGTAGGTGCTCTGGCTAGATTTTGTTGTCTTGACTACTCTGCTTTGCTTCCCCACCCGTTCTTAGCAGTGTTTTTAGATGTTGTTTGAATTTGATGTCCCTGTGATTTAGCTGCACATGTGGAAAGAAAAAGAAAAAGTTACTTGCAGGTTATATGGAGGTGTGGAGATTAAAAAAGATGTTTTTCTTCAGGAGATTTGAAAACAAAGTTGATTTCAATGCTTAAGTAAAAAAAATCTCTACTCATGTAACCCCCAACACCACAAGCCTTCATTTTTCTCAGTGCTGTCTTTTAATGAACCTTTTAGCATGACTACTGTGAAACGATTTCTCTCTTCTCCCCAGTGTAAACATCACAGATACTGGACGTCAAATACCACAGTCACAAGGGCTGCATAAAAATCAGAATGGTGTAACAGAAAGAGTGTCTATGCTTTTCTACAGTAAGATAAATCCTCATTTCACAGTGGTCCTTGCACTAGGACTTTTTTAGTGTTTAAATATATTTTTGCCTTTATGTATTTCCACCGAGTTTTTACTCTAATTAAACAAGTGCTTTTTGGCTCTCTGCAAAGGTGGGAACGAAACCAGCACGCAGCTTGCTTCAGTTTGCTCCAGTGGCATGTGTGCTTGGGTTCCTGATGCGGCTGTAATAGTCTGAGCAAGCAGAGTGGAAACTTTCCTAACGAATTTCTAGCGTTGTTGTTAGAATTAGTTATGCTGTTCCATTTCTAAACAAATCCAGCAAGCAGCCTGAAATTCCTGTTTAGCACCTGTCTGATGCATTGTAGCTACGATGACGATGGCCATACACAGCACATGCTTTAGCTCATAAATAGCAGCACACTTTTGTTCTGCCTTCTTTCAAGCAAACCTTCTTTGTGTCTTTAACATCCAGCTATGTTAAGTGCAAACAAAAGGTTTGGGGCTTTTGGATTTTTTACAAACAAGCTCATTGAAGAGAAGCTTTATTTTGAAAAGGGAAAATTTAAACATTTTTTTAATTAAAGATCAAAGGAGGGGTTTATTCGTTTAAAGAGGCCTGTTTGGAGAAGGCATGAGGTGGTGGGCTATCTTTCTCTCTAGCTTTCAACTTTTAATTATGATGCCGAAGTGGAGTAAATGCATTCTAACACTAGGAATATCTGTCATACAGTCTCACCACAAATCTGAGAAACCAGTAGAGTGCAGGAGATCTCAAGATCTAACACTTTGTCTTTAATTTTGTTGAGGATCTTTAGATGAAAGTACCAGGTGAAAAATATTATTGCAAGAGGAGGCTTGAGGAGTGGTGTCAGGTTATGTGTGGGAAGCAGAATAGCTTCTCAACTCCTTAGCCTCTTGGTTCTATCTCATTCTATTGATGCAAACATCTCATTTTCCCCTTTTTTTCAGAAGCCCTGTATGTTTTACTGATGGCTGCTTTTAAAAATATAATTACGAATCTTTATATTGTCAGTTCTTTTTACAGTAATCTTGGTTGTAGAGAAGGCTGTGCTAGTTTAGTCTTAGAAATAACTAAACTTACTTATTTCTACTCTCTGCCTCTCTCTATCACATGCAGTCCCAGCCTTTCCAGGCTAATTTGCAGATGCTGTCTTCACTAATGAGAGGCCGGCTTACTATTCGTCTACCTTTCTTGCTTAACATTAAAGAAACCAGTCAAATCAGCATGATGGTTTTATGCATAAAACTTTATCGGACAGTCTGCCATTGGGCTTGAATAGCCACAGTACAAGAGGAACTTTACCCAGTTTATAATGGGTGTTTTGTGAGTTACGGTGTTTCACAGTAACAGCGTTCTCAGCTGCCTGAACAGCAGAGTTGCAATTCAAATAATGAATTAATCCTATTTTGGAGCTAATTAGTGCAGTGAAGTAGGTTCCCAAAGTGCAAACTGTTAAGGTTTGATTTGGAAGCGGAGTACCTGGCCAGCTCCCTGATAAACTTCATCTTTTTATGCAGAACAGGGATTGTGGTTACAGAGTGTCATTCCTAATTTTTGAAAACTGTTGATGGATTGAAGAAAATTCCTGGCTTCTGTAGAGCCAGAAGTCCCATCGAATGAGTCATGTGCTCTTGTTAGTCTTTTTAAAGTTTCCAGTAGATGCTTTGGAAAAACATTTGTGTGTTACAGAGTGGATCCTCCCAAGCCATGTATTTATTGGAATAAACATTGGCTGCTCCTCAGATGAGAAAAAAAACATGCTACTATCAGTCAGAAGGCTGGTATTTTTGATTGACTTCTCTCTAAATATTCGTACCTGCAAGTGCTAACCATGCTGGCATACCTCACTGGGCTGAACACTATACAAATGAAATTATATTCTCTACCCAAAAAGCTAACGGCCCTTTTGCATGACCAGAGACAGCAGAGTGCTACCAGCGCAGCAGCAAAGCAACGTCAGTCTGTGTGGTCAGCGCCTGTCTGACCACTGAAGCAGCCAGACTGCTGTCAAATTATTTTAGGCATCATGCAGCAAAAAAAGAGAGTCTTAAGGAAATACTTAAAGGGGCGTTTTAATGATTGCTAGGGAAAGCTATGTGTGTGCTTTGTAATTGAAATGGTTAGACAAGCAGCTAATGTAGTCAGATTGTTCTAATGGCAATGCCTGACCTAGATTTCATGGGTTACTGAAGATGAAAGTTAATAGCATGGTTTGTCTCAGAAAAGGGGTATTGGGTAAAAAAAAAAAAACAAAAACCCACCAAAAAACAACCAACACCAAAAAAACCCCAAACCAAAACCCAACAAAAACAAAAAACCCAACCAAACAACAGAAAAGATTTGCTGCAAAATTTAAACCAGAATTTTTTATCATTTAGACTGGCCAAAATTGTAAAACACAATTTTGTGATCAATAAAAAGATTGAATGCTTCCTTCCTTCCCCAACTCCCCCTGACACACCGCCTTGCAGGAATGTGGTTTGTGGTTTCACACCCTTCTTCTCTGTCAATCAACTTCCAAAAGGGTAATTTCTTACATAATTGATTTAGATTTGTGAGCTGTGTGAGTGGGGGGAAGGGAAGGGCCCCATTCTGAAATATTTATAAGGATAAATTCAACTATATGAGGAGATCTTTAAGTAATTTAAATTAAGTACTGACTGGAACATCTCACTTCCAATCTTTTAAAATAAGATACTCTGAATTCATCATGAATGAGCTCCTTCAATAGTATCTGAGAAGTCTGATGCTGAAGTGTTTATATTTCTGGTTTATAAATGTAAGCAGAAAACATGGAAGTAAACCATTGAAGCTCTTACTTAGGCACCATAAAGCCCAAAAAAGGGACTGTTTTCATTCCTGTTTAAACTGAAACTGATTCTGAAAGCCAAGAAAGACATTTCCTGAATGTGCTTGAAAAAAACAAAAGACAATTGAAAATAACAACTTTCCTTGATTTACACAGCTTAAAATACTAATTCTGAACTGAGGAGCTCTGACAGGAATGTTTCTGTTACTAGTTGTCCCCCATCTACTCCCAACGCTAGGTTATTATTCACTGCCTAAGTTCTTTGACTGGCTAAACCCAAAGGAACCTTCTCTTAATTTATAACCTCTACCACGTTCCAGGATAGCCTTGGTGGTAATAGCAAGACTGCCATGGTAGCAACAGTAAGCCCAGCAGCAGACAACTACGATGAGACCCTTTCAACACTGAGGTATGCAGATCGGGCCAAGAACATCGTTAATCATGCCGTGGTGAATGAAGACCCCAATGCTCGCATTATTCGGGAGCTCCGTGAGGAAGTGGAGAAGCTGCGAGAACAGCTCACAAAAGCAGAGGTACAAATTTTAGCCTTGACTAGCCAGTAAGTCCTGCAAACCCCGTTGTCAGGACTTTCTTACCCGACTCTCAAGACCAAACGCCACAAAGGATTACTACATGGTGTCTGTGAGAAATCTCTCTTTATATCACTTCTTTCCATTTTTCTGTACATCAGTCTTGAAACACAGGTGATAATATGAGATACCAGGTTCTGTTTGAACGCCTTGTTGAGCAATCTTGTTTTTATTGCCAGGTATGGATGAAAAGCAAGAGGACATGGGGGCAGGAATAGGGGTGGAGTCTTAAGATTGTGGAGTTTATAGGCAGAGCTTTGCCGGTGTACTTTAAGAATTCAATGTGGCTACGTCCTGCAAGATTTGAATTCAGTTAAATAATACTTGCTTGCTTACCAGCTTTAACTGTTCTAAATTGAATCTCTTACAAAATTATGAATATCTGCGTAGCTACCTCAATGAAATTGTGAAAGGAGCATGGTCTAGATGTTAGATGAAGGCCAAGAACTAGCGTAATTCTGAGTTGTGTTCTCAAATGGGGAAGAAGCCGTGGTGATATAATCCGTCTGTTTTGCAATTCAGAAAAATTATGATTACAGTATTTGCCTCATGAGGTATGCAGGGAATGCTGGATGTGATATTAGAAATGACTAGTGAATTTTGGACTGTTCTCATTTCAGCTGCCTAATATACTAAGCATCCAATAAGTGTGTATCAGTTGCTTTAAGGTATCTCGAGTTAAATATCTAAAAATTCCTCTAAAATACGAACCACAGACTTAACAGTTCTCTGAGATGCAAGTACTCCTTATTTGTTTCATTTGTGAGCATTAATGCCACAATAATGGCAGCTTTCCACAGTAATGAAGTAGTGTTTCCTAACTATGAAGTAATAAATATTTCCTTTTCCAAGCATTACAATCCCACCCTAGGTGTCATCTCGGTAGCATTGACAAAGAGCATGGAAAAAACGGTGCAGTTGGCTATTAAGAGGCCGTGCGGTAAGGGTCAAAACCCACATTCATTGTCTTGTCACTTTATTACGTTTGTAGCCCGTCTAATTGTTCTTACAGAAATGTGCATAAATAAGTGAACAAAAACATTGACCTGTTACGACAGTCAGGTTGCATTTTCGAAGCTCATTTCCAAATATAGAGGTTACCAAGTTGTGGGTTTGAATTTTTTTTTTTCTTTTGATGTCAGTATCCTTTTCTCTGCTAAACAGCCGAGGCAGAACAGAACTTGATAGTTTACTCCCCCCTCCCCGCCCCCCGAAGAGTAAGGCATTATCCTCTTTTCCCCTTTTCTTCTTAAATCCACACATTTTGATCTTTTCTGATAGGAATTAATATCACATGTTTTAATTTGTCTGTGCCAAGACCACCAGCTTGTCCTTCCTCAGCTGGGAGTTTAAACTTACTGCTTTCAGCAGAGAAGCACACCTGGTCTGGTGTGAATCTGGGCCCCTATATCTGTTGGGTTTATAAGCGTTGTAGGGAGGGAGGAGAATTACCTAGCTCATTTTACAGTTGAAGCATGTGAAAATATTTGGACTTGGGGAAAAATTGCTCAACAAATAGACAAACAAGACTTAGACCTTGAGAGTGGTTGGGCTTCATCTTCCTGTCCTGCTCTGTAGTGTCCAGCGCCTTTGCAGTGATCATGTTTTATTTGTTGTAATAAATCTTTGTTCCAGAGATTGCTTCACTTTCCTTCCTGGGTGGAATTCATGTTCCCTTTTACCCTGTGTTTAGGTATTTGAGATATTCAACCAGAAAAAGACTACATGGGATGCATCAGCTGACAGTTCCTAGACTGTTGTGTCTTGAGGCAGAGGAAGCTCCTGTCTTAAAACAGGATTTTCCACTCCTGGCACTTGCTCCTTTTCTTGAACGAGCGGCAGTGTAATGAGGCCACTCTGTTTGATTTGGATTCCTGTGAGGAGTTTTGGGGTTTGTGGTAAGGGAATATCTGATGGAGAACGATGCTTGCATTGTTTAATTGGCATTGCACAAATACCTACCGGCCAAAACCATTTTCGTCTCGTTAGCAGTAATGAAATAACAACGTAAGGAAGTCCACAGGCTTCCTGTTCAAGGTAGTACAGGAGGAATGTGCCAGTACCGAGACTGGAGGAAGTAAATACATGTAGTAAGAAAATGTTGGTGTCCTTTCAGTTTTTGGAGTGTCTGATGGGTGGCAGTGGGGGTGTCTTCTTATTCTCGAGGTAGTCCTTGGGGGGAACGTGGGCCTTTGACTGTTCCACAAAACAAAATTAGAGCTGTGATGGATTAGCAAGAAAATTGAATTCCAGCATCCAGAAGCACATTGTAAGGCTTCTTTTGATATCCACTTTGTAAAATGGATATGTAGAGATGGATAACCAGAACACCTCAGATGCCTTGGTATTTGCCATAGAAAGAAAAAAATCACACCCATCAGGCCATATCAAAATGAGCAATAAAAATATTTTGGTGGCATGGCAGTTTAAGTGACTGAGATGTTAGCTGCCATTTTGAGGGAAAGCAAGCTGAGACAGTGGTGGCTAGCCAGATCAGCAGTGTCTGAGAAACAGGACTGGTTTAGATATGAGTTGTTTGGGTTACTCATACTGGTATAGAAATGAAATTAGTTTGCGTTTGAATATCTTTGTGCAAATCTGCCACTATCATGTAATTGGTTTGCATTGAGGTATATAAACTCCACTTTAGCATCTGTCTGTGAAGCTAATTAAACTAACTTTTAGATGGATTCTGCATTTATACACAATATGTATTTTAAAAAACCCTTTACTTACTGGTAAGTATGCCTTGGAAAATGAGTAATATTATGTTTCTTTTTTTCCCCATCTGTGTGACAGCGATGTGAAAAAAAAAAAAAAAAACCAAAGCACAACAAGCTTTCTTGTTTTATTTGCTTTTATTTCTGCAGGCTATGAAATCACCAGAATTAAAGGAACGATTGGAGGAATCGGAAAAGTTGATTCAGGAAATGACTGTGACCTGGGAAGAAAAATTAAGAAAAACTGAGGAGATAGCACAGGTTTGCTGCTTTCTTCCCCCTCCTGGTCCTTTTTTATGAAAAATAGGTTTGTTTCCTTTGTCTGTCAGTTCATAGAGATTGAATCGCTCCCCACATTTGTGGGTAAGTAGGTCAAGCTTACTGCCCTTCTGAAAAGCTTCACTTAATTCCTGTGATAGCTGGGTGCCTCCCAGATTACTATTCCAATGACAATAATAAATTGGCACTGTATGCAAATGGAGAAGTTATTTAAAAAAAATAATAATCCATGGATGAAAGGATTACAGGGATTCTATATTCTTCAGACAGTAAAATTGTTGTCTGTGATGAAAGATAAGAGTGTTGAGAGTGTTAAATACAAGGTTATGTACAGAGTGCCTCAATACACAAGGCAAAGGGCATTGGGAATATTAAAAAAATAGCACTGTTCAGGATCCCTGTGTGTTTTAATACCTCTTACACTGATACTTAAGGCCTCAGACCATAATTGAAGATGATGGTTACGTTGAAAAATTGTGCAGGTCGCCACAATTATTCCATGACACTTCCAATTCTTACCGCGCAAATGCTTATGTATGTATTTGCAGTAGGGAGCTTTTGAGGGGGAGGACTATTGAAAGGTGGTGAATAGCATGTAATAAATAAGGAGAGAATGGAGGCTCCGATACAAAGCCCTCTTGTAGATGACACAATCAGAACAGACTGTGTTGACTTTAGTTTTAAAGATCCATTGTAAGAAGTGTTGCTTGTGACTACGAGGGCTTCCTGGTTTTCAATGCAGATTTGTACCATGGATTTTCCTCCCTGTGTATAAGGGTGAAAAATAATAATAAAAAATTTCTGCTCTCATCCTACACAATAGTTTCTAGGCACAGAAATCCTGAGTGTGCGAGGAGGTTGAAAAACTGGAGTAACGGGCTCAATGCTACAGACTAAATCTGCCTTGATGTTTGCATAGAGCCGCTTGCTTTAGCCCTCTTCCTCTTTGTCTCTAAACAGTCAGCATGTTACGATGTTTTGGAGCTGGGAGTTTCATGAGCCCTGCAGGTGTAGAAAGAGTGATTTTTATTTTTTTTTCAGAGGAGGGCTGAGGACTAGCATTTGTGCAGCATAAGGCTGTTTCAGAACCTCTTGGAAACCAGTGGGAAGAACCTGCCACCTTCAGTAGGCTTACGGAGGCCCAGGGTTGAAGGCATTCATATCTTGGCTTGTCAAGTGATTTTATTTTTGGCCAGCATCCACCAACATCTGTCTGTCAAATTGTAGTGGGCAGGCGGGTAGGATGGAGAGATAATAATAAATCTTTGAGGAAAGGATGATTCCTCATAAAGAATGAGGCAGTTTGTGGAGATGGAGCGGCAGTAAGGGTTCAAAGCCTTAAAGACTATGTGAATAGGCAATTTTTCACATTTTAAGTGAGTATTTGACGTACTTTTAATGTATTTTGAATGTTTAAGTTAATTAACATTAGGTCTTGAGCAAAAGTTAACAGAAACTGGCTCATTTTCTTTAAGTTAAACCGATGAGATTTAGACTGTGGGCCAAGTCCTCCTTTGGGCAACACGTTCTTTATCTCTGTAGATAATAAAGAATTATCTGAACTTCAGAGCCTGGCACTGATGATTGGAAGAGAGATCTTTGACATCACACTGCAGTTTTTCCTCTGTTCTTTGGTGCTCTCTCTTTTTCTCTCTCCCCTTCTTTTCCTTACAAGGGCACTATGTTGGTTTTGTAAGTATGTGGGGAGAGAGGGTAGAGAAAATAAAGAGGGAGTTGTGCTTGATATTCTTTGCTATTTTAATCTTGACTAGACCTCGTACAACTCCAGTACTGAACAGAGAATTATACTGAGTAGTATGACATACTAAGTTTTTAAATACAAAGCAGAGTGGTAGGTAAAGGTCAGAACCTTAATAAACTTCCCAGCATTATTCATGGATGTCTGCCTTTTTTTTTTTTAAAAGTCTCACAGGGAAGGCCCTGCAGGGGTGTCTCTTTCTTTTTT